ATCATAAGCTTTTCCCATGTTTTTCCAAGGTTAATGATATAAATTCCTACACAGATGAACAGAAAACAAAAATCACTAGCAACGACTGAAAAAGACACTGGAATATGAATACTAAATACTCCCCAAAATCCTAATACAAAAAAAAAATATGAAATTGAAACTGACAACAATAAGCAAATTAGTAACAATTTCTTTTTTATTTAATAACAAGAAAAACTCAAACTAGAAAACCTAATGTTCAAATGTCATAATTCAGTCTCCGGGTAATAAAATAACATAAAGAAACTTAATTTGAAAAGATAGCTATCCGTTGCCAAAAACTCACTGCAGTTAGTATAAAAAATTAACTAGGCAACTGAAATTAGAAAACATCATCCATTGGAACAAACAGCCAAACGCAGATTCCAGCGTATAACAATGTGTAAGCATATATTCCGTCCCATTAAGAGTAATAATATTTATCCATTGCATAGAAAAACTGTGGAAAAAATTAATGTTTTGAAAACCGACCCGGGAATTGACCTAGAAAAGTGAATGGGTCAAGGGTCAGAGGGTTGAACCAGAAAAAACCGAAATTAATATAATTAAATTAAAAAATTCATATATTAATATATGTTCTATATTTCTATTTATCAAGTAAAAGAGTATTTTTAATATTGATTATTTAATTTCTAATTATTACTTTAATACCCATATCACATTAAGCCCAAATGCAACTAAATGTACAATATAAACAAAACAGGTTACATATAAACAAAACTAAATGGGCCCAAAAAAACCCTACATAATGAACTATTCCTCATTACATCCCTACCAAACCAACAAAGAACAGAATACGGCGCACATTTACAGATTCTTTCTTCTTCCATTTTTAGAGTTTATTTTCAGATTTTTGGGTATTTACAGAGAAGAAGACGGTCTTGCATCGATGAGCTTAATATAAACGGGAGAAAGTAGATGAATGACCAGTACCAGATTAGATTCCGTATTCTTTTCAACTTTTTATTTTATTTTCCATTTCAAAATCAACAGGGAAACTCGGTAAACTGCAACTGGGTCTCTGGTATTTGGTTGGAGCGTCCGGCTTTCTGGTTTTCAAGCCTGTTCCAATACCTACGGGTTTTAAGCATCAACTGAAACGGTTATCCATCTGGTTCCCCATTTTTTCCGTTGAACCGGCCGGTCCGGTCCGGTTTTCATAACATTGGAAAAAATAGAAACGATTTCCCAGTGTAAATTTTTGGTTGCTCTATGAATAAATATTAAGGACATGGATAAACTAACTTTTACAAACTACTAAACAGACGAGACGTCAACTGAAATTAATACGAACTAAGTAACAGTGAATACGAACAAAAAGAAATTTGTTTCATATATTTGATTACAAATTGGCATTATAAAGGACCAATAAATCACTTAAATTTACATGTTCCGCCTTTTAATTTCAACTAATTCGACAATATACATCTGAAAGATATAAGAATTTAAAAAAAAAAATGTAGATTCCCAATAACATAACACACTTAGCCAAATATCATCAAATAAAATCGATACAAATAATCACAGCAAGCAACCAGTAAACATCAACTGAACCAAGAAAAATCGTTTCAAATAACTTACCGTCATTCCGGCGCTTGAACACGTAACGTTCCATTTGGAAGTCACAGTTTTTAGTGCCGAGATGGACTTCAGCTGCTAACATCATCTGTATGTCGGCCTCCTTCGTAGAGAGTGTCCTTGGCGCAGTCGCCATTTTTACTTCACCTGAGCTTCTGCTGAGGGTTTCCAGTGTATAGCTGGCTAAAAATGCAAATGCTATCTCCGTTGACATGGGGTTGGCAGGGTTCATATGCATACTCCATCTCGATCTCAGAAACCCTAACGAAGTTTCTCGAACTGACGGAAATACCCCGGATTTGAATTGGGTTTTTTTGGGCTGAATCTCTTTAATGAGAATTGGGCTTGTTTCGGAATGTGATATTTTAAGGTCCATGAAGTTGAATTGGGCCTGACATTTGGGGGTCCATTGTAATAAATTAAATATATTGCACCTTAAGTCCCAAATCTTTCAATAAATATATATTAACCACTAAACAAATAAAATGCAAGGCAATAATATAAATAAGAAAAACAATGAAATATGCTAACGACATCTATACCTAGTGCTCACAATATATTAATCATACTCTATTTATGCATATACATAATTTCAACTAAAATTCTTTCAATTTGTTTTAAAATACACTAGAAGATGTCAAAGCGTAAAGTCTATGTACCAAACGGGTAACCATGGTGGTGCCTGGTGGGTCATGTGACCAATCATTTATTTATTTTTATTTATTATTATTTTTTTTTTTTGGCTTTGAAAATTATCCATGCTTAAGAAGAAACAGAGATTCAATGAGTGCAGTGAGCTTAGTAAATGAGTAATTTCATTTCTTGATTAAGCTTAAAATTACTCAATAACTAGTTCAAAATGTAAATTGAGACATACTTTTCAAGAGATCCACTTATTAATTAATTTTTATACTTTAGCCAGATATAAACTTGTCAACTATCATATCAAAACTTGTCAACTATCATATCGAGTTCCATTTAATATAACAAATATGTTTTTAAAATATCCATAAACAACTAAGAAACACCTATATTTGTCCAATGTTATCTAATGCAACATCACCGATTGTTCTAAATAATGTTAGTGTATATTCTCTTTGATTTTTATTTTCTTGTATTCCACTATATTCTTTTCAATCCAAGTAAAGATTATGATAGAGGCTAGAGTGTAGGGATGGCAAAAAAATCTATTCAACCAAATATCTGTGGGGCCCCGCTCTAAATGGGGTGGATAATACCCGCCTAATCGGGTATATAGGATGGGTATGGGGCGAGGGTCATTGCCCCAAACCCTAAACCCTACCCGTTTAATATTAATTTTAAATTTAAGCTTTTATCAAACAAAAATAATAGATTTATCATTATTTTTAAAGAAAACATAAGTTTTTTTTAACAAATTGGTAAAAAAATAATATTATTTACTAACTAAGGACATAAACAATAAAAGCAAAAAATAAAAAGAAAAAATAAATGGGGCGATAAATTGGGGCAGGAGACTTGCCTACCCTGACCTAAACCCGTCCCGTCCCGCTTTAATCGGGTATGAGTATGGGGTCAGATAACAAAAATACCCGACGGGACGGGAGTGGGAATGGCCGACCCGTCCCATTATCATCTTTACTAGAGTGAGGTTGCCTACAAATCTGTAAAATATACTTTCCGTTCTTAAAAAAACTACTTTCATTAGCTACCCATTTACAAAAAGAAAAATTACATTCATCTGTTCTACATAATTCATGTCGCTACTTCAGTTCAAACTTTAAGATAGCTATGTTACATATTCAGCAAAAAAAATTATCTGTGTCACTGTTTAGTGACTAAACAAAGAAAAAGAAACAAAAGCAATCAACTTCAGTTATTTTGTTTTTCAAAATTGAAAGGTAACCACTAGGCCGACGACAAATTTATAATTTAAAATTTTTATTTTCTTCGGTCAAAATTCAAAGTGAGAGAGAAAATGGGTTTGAATTATTGTTATAGTTTGTTTTCATAGTGTCAAATTGATTTGGAATGATTTAAGATTTTTCACAAATTTTTTGTAAGTTTAATTGTGCCTCCTCATTTAAAATGTCTGCGCCTGCCACTGCGAGAAACCCCGTACATTAAAAGCATAGCTAAGCTTGTGTTGAGCTTAACTGTTGAGACTTACAGCTCGCGCAAACTAATTCAGGGGAACTTATATTTAAAAGGAAAAATAAAAGGAAAGACTACTGCAAATTTATGTAGAAAAAAGTGCAGATTTCGCGGAGAGAGAGAGTGTGTATAAATTACAAAAGTATAAACCAAATTGCTACTCAATAGGAAATGAATCTAACAAACTAGATAAATTTGGTGAAAAGAATGTTCAAACATTCAGGAATTACTAGGACAAACATCCAAAATTGCAGACAAGTTTTGCTCATTACTAAAAGATTCAGCTATACCAAAATAAGTTCAATAATTATGCTGATTTCTCATTATCCAACTTTCTCAAGATTTTCGGTAACAGTTTTCATCCTCGGTCGAACCTCGGGGTCTCCCTCTGTGCATGCAAGGGCTATGTGAAATACAGCCAGTACTTCCTTCTTGGCGCGTACTTCTCGAAGCAATATTGGGTCTACCATATCGGACAGCGGACTTTCCTCGTCGAATCCCTTCCTTACCCACCTTACGAGATCTGGGAGCTCTGTAGATGTTGAGGTGGTTGGGGACGAAAACTCTGGAGATTTACCAGTTAGCATCTCGAGCAAGACGACTCCGAATGAGTAGACGTCCCATTTTTGGGTAGGTCGGCTACTGGTGACTCGAGCTTCTGGTGCCCGATAATTGTTGGTTTTCTCCGGTTGGGTTGATTTTAGATATGGAAGGGCACCACCAATGAAGCCCCCGGAGGAGGAAGGGTTGTTTCCCGTGATGGTAATCAGCCGATTGAGGCCAAAATCAGATATGTATGGCTGGAATTCATTGTCGAGGAGAATGTTTGACGGTTTTATGTCTCCATGAACAAATTTTCTCGGGCTACATTCGTGTAGGTAGGCCAAGCCCCGTGCTGTGCCTTTCGCAATTTTCAGCCTGGTTAACCATGTCAAGCTGGACGACAGCTGACCATTTTTCCCTATAGAGGTGAACCTCGTCAGTCCAACATTTAGACATGAAAGTAAAAATACGCATTACAGAATTGGAATGAACAACATAATAAACAACATTTTAGTTCTTTTCTTCCGCAATATTGCCCACTGCTATCCAGTATGCTCTATCAAATGAAATACACAAAATATCCAACATCAAAAGTCACTATATAGAAACGTCCTTCAAGGATCTCCCAAATGATATCAAATGCTTTAAAAATGTCAAAATAACGTTGAATCCAGAACCTTGATACCATTTTATATTCGATCTTTTTTCTTTGTTCATTTTTTTTCCTCTTTAGGAGAAGGGGTAATGAACAAGAAGTTCAACTACTCAGATATGTAAGGAGGTGACCTGAATATCTAAATGGCCGGTGTCAAAGTATGACCATCTCGCTTAATCATTTTAAAAGTAAATCACGAACTTTTATATCATGATTGAAAGTATCATCTTTGTGGGTTCTTGATGCAACTTGCATCAGCAGTTGAGCTCTCTCATCAACTGACATTTTCTAGCAGCTTGTTCAGTAAAGACACCCCACCTAAAAAGACAAAGAAGAAACGCATAGAATTCCTATTGTTGTTTTCGCCGGTACCAAATTCTTACCGCAAAAATTCACAGGAAAATTGAAACATAATTTTGCTCTACTTTGGTAAGATGTCATGTTTCGACACTGAAGTTTAGGCACCAAATGATAAACTAAAACCTAACAGCCCGCCAGAATCATCAATATTCATGTGGCCTAGTTAGGATACAGGATTGTTGGTAAAGGCGTATCCTTGTGGAGTTGTCCTTCATTACAAAGGTGTACACACGGTGATAATAACTATTACAATATCAACATCATCATTAATAAAACCTACTGCCAACCACTTTCTTCTTTTTGTTTCTTATCCTTCACTTGTTAATATAATCCATCAGTAATCATTTGCACCAAAAATATATACACAAGGGAACCCATTAGTAGAGTTTCTGCTTCTGCTTCTATTTCTTGCATAAGAGCTTCATTATCTTAGGTCGACTTCCTTTAAAAAACACTTCTAATCAAACAAAACACTTTCAAGAAATTATTCAAACATAGTTTCAAAAGCAAGCGAAACAGGCCAATAGTAGTTTTTCCCTTTTGTTATTTTGGTAAAGTTAACCCATGAATATATCTTTAGTGTGCAACTTATCCTAGTTATTGAATCATTAACTGCACCATCCATGATGGTGTACAAGCCAAGCTATCTACTAGGATTCAAGAAAGATATTATATTATACTATAATCCTAGCTAAATGTTAATACTGGAAACTATGCACATAAAATTTGCATTTAAATGCAATTTAGCGAAAAAAATTAATTACTGATGACAGCAGATTGTAGTAACTTACCGCGAAGAGCAGAAGCCAAGTTGCCATTGGAAATGAAATCGCTGATGAGAAGCTTTTCATCAGGTGCCCAGTAATATGCCCTCAACTTCACAACATTCGGATGGTTTACTCTCCCAATTGCCTGAACCTCCGCTACAAACTCCTTATACCTCTGTTCCCCGCCTTCTCCCAACCTCCTCACAGCCACAGGCACTCCATTTCCAAGCACAACCTTGTACACAATCCCCAACCCACTCTTCCCTAACACATAAGCCGATGCCCTCAACAACTCGTCTAACTCAAAATTGAACCCCTTATCAATCGCCACGAGATCTCCCTCCCCACTACTCATCCCTCCACTAGCTCCACCACCACCCTTTTCTGACTCCACGTCCGAGTCATTGCTCGGGGAACCACTAATGCAAGGAAAAACACACAGTCCCGTCTTCTTATTTCCCCCAAGCTTCCCTTTCCCAGTACAACTACACCCACCAGAGTCCTTCCTCTTCCAATACAAGTAAACAATCACTAATCCTACAAGTGCAACTCCAACAGCATCAGCCGCCGCTATCAATATAATCAACCCCGGTTTTAACCCTTTATTCCCATTAATACCCTCATTTTTGCGAGAATCACTCTGAATCCCAGGTGTATTTTCTGAATTATTTTTACAAGTCCTTTGTAATGGAAATCCACACAACATCGGATTATTCAAAAATGCAGTAGGACCCTGATTCGCAAACGACCCTGTTTGCGGAATTTCACCAGTTAAATTATTATTCCTAAGATCAAAACTCACAGTAAGTGGCAAATCGCCTAATGTTTTTGGAATTTTCCCAGTAAAATGATTGAATGACAAATTCAAAGTCTCTGAAAGTGACTTCAATTCTCCTATATCTACTGGGATTGAACCATTGAATTCGTTTGCCGAGAGATCAAGCTGCTCCAAATTGGCAAGTTCCGGGAAGATCCCCTCCGGAATCTCGCCAGAAAAATCATTTCCGGCCAGAATAAGCCTTTGCAACTGCCGACAGTTCCTCAGAAACTTCGGGAGTGTCCCGGAAATGGAATTTTTCGAAAGATCAAGATTTTGGAGGCGTGGAAGGTTACACATAGAGGGGGGCAGAGAACCGCTGAGATTATTACCGTGGAGAAAGATGCTATGCAGTGATGAAGCATCGAACAGTTGATCGGGAATGGAGCCATAAAAGTTGTTATCATGCAAATTAAGACGCCGGAGATAAATCAAGCTGCCAAGCTCCGACGGAATATACCCCCGGAGATTCTTACCCGCAGCGGATATGCCTACAACACGCGGGTCCGCCGAGCCGGAGACGTTCATGCATGAAATTCCGCTCCACTGGCACGGCGTTGCATCGTTCTCATTCCAGTCGGAAAAGGCGGCGGCAGCGGCATCCACGGAGGACTTCAAGGAAAGTAAAGACAGGCCGTCGGAAGTCAGACAAGCTCCAAATTTTATATCTCCATCAAAATTCAACAAAACAACAATGGTTAATAAACAAAACCTTTGCAAGAACATCATGGTACAAAAACAAAGTACAAATCAAAATACAAAAAGGGATTGGAAAAGATTTAATTAATTTTTTTTATTTTCTTTTATTTTTTGGTGGAAAAAAAAGGCAGTTATGCTTCGTAATTTTTCATACTGTATTCAGTGGTGGTGAAGAGGTGGTGCTGGTGAGGTTTGGCCACGGGGGGAGTTGAGGAATTTATGAGAAAAAGACTGGAGTATGAGGAGGGGTTCTAATTACTGGGCTCCGCAGCCACTCTTCTTAAGAGTACGAGGAGGTGGGGTGGATTGGGGGAGTAGAAGAAAAGCAATGAAACAGCAAAGAAACAGTGATTTGTTATGTTCACAATTTAAAAAAAAAGTACCTCTTTACTCTATAGTCACGATGTTGTCTTTTTTCTCTCATACTTGGTTCACAAAGCAAATAAGAGCCTTTTTGTTCGTTTTTATGCATTTTCTTTGATGTGTTATAAACATTTAAAATTATTTCGATTTCTTGAATTGAAACATTCTTGGCTATTCTAAAAGCCGAAATCTCTTTCCCAAATAAAAAAAGGGGAAAAATAAGCATCCTAGCCCTCATTTCATAGAGCTTGTTATTAATATTGTTGTGACCTCGATGATTTTTTTCTTGCATGGCAACATTTTCTAATGAGCATTTTAGAAAAAGTATAAATTTTTTTTTTTTCATTGTATGCAATTTAATTTGTATCTATTTGGGTAAAATGTTGTAAAAAAATATTTTCATGGAATTTTTTTCCTTCTATATATTAGTCCAATGTAAAGTAGGGAAAAAAAAAAAGAAAGAAAGAAATCTTCGTCATCCCTTGACTCCGGCCTGAATTTGAAGAAATGAATAATGGGCATGGCTCATCATCCGGAATATGGCTGGGGTCAGAACCAAGGGGTCCATTCAAGAGTAAATGCTTCGTAATAAGTAGGGCTCTGGGGCTACATTGATCAGAATATTCTACTTAATTATTGAGGAGGGAGTAGAAACATTTCATATTGCGTATGCATATATTCAAGACATATAGATCCCAGAATCTTGTTTTGTGTGAAACATTAATGCTATATTGATTTTATTAGGATTTATAAAGTAATATTACGATATACTTTATAAAAAGAATTAGGCATGTTATCAATAAATGAAAAAAAAAAAATTTACAATTTTTGTATTGTGTATTAGATATGCACGAGTATAACACAACACAGTTGGGAACGGATGGGATAGGGGGATGAATATATTGGCACACACGAGGAGAAAAGATAAATCACTAATCATTATATCTTAGCATACCACCCAAGTAAACTAAACATCATCTTAGGCTAAAACAAAAAGCACATAATTTCCACTTGTATTTAAATAATAACATATCAGTATTTGACTTTTTTGTCGTATAAAATAACACTCAAAATCCCAATCATGAAACACATGCTTAGAAGCAAACAAAAGTTTGATAGTCTATGCATCATTCATCAAGTAGAAGAAAAGCGTTGGATATTGGGAAAACAATTATTTATATAAGTGATCTGTCCAATTGAATGTGGGAATATGGCAGTGATCTATTTACGTTCCCAAGTTCATCTCTAATGGTCAAACAAATTTGAGTAGCATTTATGTGAATAAATTCATAAGAGTAAATACTGTGTAGCATCGCTGGTCTCGTAGCACCCGTTTAAGTGACAGTTGATTCTACTTATTCATGAATCAGAATGTAAAAGTGATAAATTCCTTGTCAAGCACAATATTTCGGGACAGAAAGGAAGGGATAATGAAAAACAAGAAAGAAAAGAATCATTTGCTTCATGGTAAAGACAAATTTTATTAACAACTCTCATCTAGTTTTTCAACATCTGTATCATGGAAGGAGTGGGGGTCCCATTTCCTTGGAATTTCATAAAAGTGAAATGTTGAAGTAGCTATAAAGCAAAGTTGCTCATGCACATTCTTCTATACCATGATTATAAACGCAATTCTCCAAGTCTTCTATCATGATTATGAAATGCAATTCTTTTGATAATCGAATGGAAGATCATGGATACTACCAGCAACAATCAAAGAAACCAAGCAACTTGAAATCAGAAAACCGTGCATTCGTAATCTCTTAAAAAATTCACGTAGTAAACAAAGAGATTCACTTGAGTTACACAAAACAAAGCACCCACAAATGAAGAAATTCGGTGGCAAAATTTGAAAGGAAAAGGGGAGTAAAGAATTGAACTGCATCAAGAATGGCAGGACTTGGTTATAAAACAGAATACTACAAGCAAAACAAGTTTGAACACGTCTAATGCGATAGTTATAGTTCAGAAGCACATAGTAGCAAATATTCTACTTCTTCTCACTGGCTCTCTCTCAGGTCACAGGTAATTCAGCCATCTCCTGTTCTACAACTTCTGCTTCAACTGGATAGTATTTGTAGTGAAGTTCTCCAACATCATCACCTGATAGCTTTGTCCATCCATTTGGTCCAACGTGATAAACTGCCATAAAACGTAGGTCATGGTTTAACCAGTAAGCACACAGAAATATGAAGAGATAACAAGGAGATGAAGGTGAAAAGTGCATTACCGCTGGCAACGCCACCACTAGCTCCATCACGGAATGTTGCATGATAAATAGCCCGTCTTGCCAACTCTGCAGCTTCTTCAACAGACATATCATAACGGTAGCTAGACAATTACAACACAAAACAACATTAAGGTTCCCCTAAAGCAATTGCATTAGATTAAAGCTGAAGAGTGAATGCCGAAGTGAAATTACTAATAGATACAAGTCATGGAAAAAGTCATCTGCGAGAGTCTCAATTTATATAGTTTATTTGCAATCACAGGCAATTCATAGATATCACTAGTACAATATATATAACTAGTGCAAGAAAACACTGCAGCAATTCTGATTCTTGTTTCATATCATGTTATTGAATATACAACAATTTAGAAGAAAATTGTGAAACATCCATAACAGGGAAATGAGTAACTCACCCACTGTCCAAAACACCATAAGCATATGGCGAACCAGATCCAACAGAGAATCTAGTTCCTTTCAGCCTTCCTCCTTCACTGTCCACATAGTACAGGCCAGGACCCTACATCAAATTCCAAAAGCATTACAAACATCCAAAAGATGCAGGTCAATGGCATGCTATATTAAGCCCTTGTTTGAACCCCATTCTTTGGTAAAAATACATTTTTCAACAATATTTTGACATCATTTCAACCGCATATTTTTCAATAAAATAATAATATACGCAAATATAAAACTTTTCCTTATTTTTTAACCACACATTTCAATCAATATACTATTCAAAAATTCATTCTTTCCCCAAAAATGGGGCTCAAACAAGGGCTAATATATTTCACTCATCACCTTCTCATCCCATCCAGCTATCATAGTTCCAACAGACAAACCCATTCCCCTATAAGAATAGAGAATGTTGGCCAGCAACTTTGAAGCTCCAGTTACGGATATTCTTCTCTTATTTGCCAGCTCATGCAATCGACACTGAAGTATGCAGGATAACCATTAAATAGCATAGTTGTAGCAAAATGAATATATTAATTCTTCAATTCATACAATATAACAAAAAAATAACAAATTTGTTTCCAATAATTGCCGTTCAAATTGAAACCATGAAATAGAATCTCAGGGGGCATTTGGCATCCCAAGCAATTGTAGAAAAAATATAACAAGCCACCAAATGGCATCTAAATTACATCAGCTGGTAACTTTTGTAGCAATTGAAAGTTGTAGACAATTGGTTCACATAATTTTGTCCTAATTATGCGTTGCATTTTCACGGACATCCAAAGTTTCACAGATGCAATAAAATGATTAGTAATTAAAAATTTGAAAACAGAAGCAAAATAAAATTAACTGATTCTTGCTTAGTAATTAAAAGTGCACCACATTTCCCCACTAATATTGTTGTCATCCTTCCATTTCTGGATACAGATTGAGATTTAGAAAGAAGGTGCCATAACCAATGATTACAACAACCAGAATCAGGGAGTCATAACTCTCTCGGATCAAGACTGCAAATGGAATCTTTTACTATATAATCATCCTCACTTTTTTCTCCTGACTTAAATGTGAAGCACGATATGCCTATCACATTCACAAGAAATAAGCCGGGAAAAATTCTTTTATTCAAAATAAGGGTTAAAAGAGGATGAAACGGACGAGAAGCTTAAATCTTCATATCCACACTTGATTTTTTATCAGTTTTCATTCGCTAGAATCAGAATATTAGACTTTATAGCTAAAATCAGTCTCCTGTTTCAGTAGATATCAACCAAAGCAAATATGCAGCATATCGGATATTGCACCAGAAAAAAAGGCACAAAAAGAGTGTCAACCTTTCCATCTGATAAGTTAACTCGTTTGACAAGCTGAATGTTCAGATGACTGGGAAGGGATCAAGCTAGAACCTTCAGCCTCTCTTCCAAAATCGTTTTTTCACATCACTTCCTGTGCCCTTTTAACTTGTTTCCTTCTCATTCTTTTGGTTAATTATTGAATATGAAAACCATAATGTATTATTTGGAAACTTGAAAAGGTAAAAAGCAAGATTTACAGCTTTCTATTCAATAAGATTTAAAATGTCACAGTAACCAATGCTAGAGGGATCAACCACCCAATTAAGCATAATGCATTAATCTAGAAAATGCACAAATCAACTATCTATATTCCTCATTGAGAATGACAGTGACAAAAGAAGAAACTATATCATGATTAGTCACAAATTCAATTAAAATACCTTAACACCCAGATTTCTGTGCCAGAACTGGCAGTCAGCAGCTCCTCCAGCCATTGTGCCAAGCATGTAGGGATTAATTTCAATGATTTTCTTCACAGATTGTGATGCTGACATAATAACACGGAGAGTTACACCCAATCAAATATGAACGTGGAAAGAAATATGATAGCATTAAAAAAAAAAAAATTATGTGATAAAAGCAAATTACTGAATCACGAAAAAAAAAAACATAACGGCTTACCTAGTTTTAGTTAAGCATATGCTTTGTTCAAGCAGTCGTAAATGTCAACATATTAAAACTAAGATCCATAGTATACATGAGTATCAATTTGCAACCCCCAAAGCATAACAATAAAATGCACATAAAAATTATATAAAAATATACCATCAGACCACAAGTGTTGCATGGATTAAAAATGCATGCTAGTCCAGCAAACATTTTTCAGGACATCTATGGATCATGACCCACAAACAGACAAAAATATTACTGGGGTCCGTCAAAAAAGGAAAATATTTGAAGAAAAAAGGTCGAAGTAAAAAAATTCCAGGAGTCTTCACCAAAAATGGATGCATTGCTCAGGATATTAAGGTAGAGTCCCTAACTAATAGAAGAACTGTCAAGTTTAACATGTAACTGGGCTAACTATGAAAATCACAAGTTAATTCAAAGTTTGTAAAAAACTTAGAGATGTGGGTTGCTGAAATCCATCTCAATTATCCAAAACTGGCGCAAGTTTGGCAGAATTTTCTTTGCATTTGCTTTAATCAAACTATTCTAAGAAGACTAGGGAACACACACACTTGCAGCAAACTCAAACAATATATACTTTTTTCACTAATTAGACATTGTTGAACAGGAAGGAAATCTGTAATTACTGCTACAGCAGAGTCTTGTTTTCCAAATAAAATACAATCCCTGGGGCCAGCGGAACAGGGCCTTCCTCATTAAACCATTTCCTATTGCTTAATTGATTTGATCATTAGGTTCCAGTCATCCTAAAAGTATTTGATACAAAGAGGAAAAATATAAGCCGCAAAACATAGTATAGCCTGATAGTTCAACTTCGCATGTCAGAGAATAAGAAAACAGTGACCAAATATAAATAAGCTAGCATGTAACCGATCATGGTGCACAACCATGTAGCTAAATTAAGATTACAAGTTCCCCGTGTATTGCCATGCCAGGAACTATGATTATATGTTAAAGCCTTATAATTGCCACGTCAGAAACTGATTCAGAATTTTACTTCACTGCATTGACTGGAGCTTCAGAATTGGAACTATACATTTCTTTTCCAAGATTCAATTATTATCACCATTTTATACAAACAAACATAATCGCATAAAAATTCATGCTGCAACAGATTGAATTCCTCACAAGCACCCTCAAAATC